ACCCAGGCCCTGAGTTGAAGTCCCATAACCAGAAAAACAAAATTGCCTCCCATGAAATCTATTCATCTACTCAAATTAGAAGAGTTTTGTTTCATAGCCTTTAACACCTATTTCAAGGGGATATTTTTTTTCTTTTTGCTCTAATTAATTAACCAATCAACTCTTCTACAAACAACATCTTCCTTCCCCTATGTTATAAATCCAGTAGGAAAAAAATAGCAAGCCCTTTTCTTTGAAAAAAAATGTTATTATCTTTAGAAACATAATATGAACCCATTTGATAGATCAATTTAGTAGCAAAACATTTTCTGACACAGTTAAAGATTGTAGCAGTTAGAATTTATTTCTCCTAGCTGAAATATATAGAGAATTACCATTTAACTCATAAGCTTTAGCCTTTGCTTTAAAATTCCCCTAGATTAAGGCTGGAGAAATAGTGCAGAAGTAGACAAAATGCAGGCAACCGGCTACCGGCTCCTATTCTGGTTAAGGAGCAGAGAATTTATCTGAAGCAATTTGAAAACTCTTGAGATCACTCTGACTCAAAAAATACATCCTTCAGTGTGACCTGTCCTGTTTTCACTGTTAGAAATGTTTACTTTCAGGATAAATATTACCTTTAGAAGTCATCGTTTGAAATGTCAATATCTTTGGAGGGGCCAAGAGTAAATTTTTGACAATTTTCAGTAGAGCACTCTGCAGATTACTTTCTCTGAGTAGAATAAAAGGAAGGAAAGCATAAGGGTAGGGCAGAATACATTGTAAGAAAGTATAAATACAGAGGTAAAAGAAATAAAGGATGACCATTGATTTCTATCAGTTTTACTGTGAAATAACCCAGTGTGAGGAGGTTAATAAGTAAATGAGCTTATCATTGTAGAATGTTACTGAGACCAATAATACCAATGATATTTTGACTTCTGAATAAGCAAACTAACTCTGCTAACATCAAGAAGGTTTTCTTTAGGATAATAATTTATTATTAACTGATAATAAGAAAGGTGTAGTTACTCCTATCAAAAAAACCACAGAAATTACAAGGCTTTGACCTAAGGTTATTGAATAATTCCCAAAACAAAAACAAACCTGACTTCAGAATGTGAAAATACTAAACCCAAATTCTATAGCTATAGGAGATGTGTACAAAGTAACAACCATTCTAGGTTAGGATTCTGGGTAGAAAGTCAGCAGGTTATTTGTGAGTATATTTGTGTGATATAGGGAGATTTTATGGCCAAGGACATTAGGGAAACACTTAATTCAAGTAAACAGTTGTTTTATTTATATGTTTTTCCCCTAAATCATGGAACATAGTAGCATAAGTGTTACAACTTCTAAGAGAACAAGTCACTTAGCAATTTTTTTCAGTTCTCTTTGATCATGGGACTAGTATTGTGTAGAAAGAACTTTGGAACATTATCTAATGTTATTTTAAACCCTGCAATGCTATCTAAAGATAATATAAGAATGCATTTTCTAAAGGAAATACCTTAAATTACATATACCTGCATATATATTGCACACACGCACACACACACACACACACACACACACATCTGTAGCATTGATTCAGTACAGGCTCAAACAAACCTACTACCACTGCTATTTTGATTCTGCATTTACAGAGCAGAATCCAGGAAGCCCACAGGTTTCCCCGTTCTGAGGTCTTGCAGGTGCGTGCTCTCTGGGGAGACCATCTCTGGGGGGTGCTTTCAGTGTTTTCAGCAGTCCCCAAACAGATAAACCAGCCCATGTCTTATAATAATCCACATAATCCACATCCTGATCTCGGCTTCTTTCACTTTTGTTTCCTGCAGGCTATTTAATTTCTCAAATCGTTTGTTGGTAAATTTTTTAAGTTCATGGACAAAATGAACAAAAGATGAGCTTCCAGAGTTAGCTTTACGTTTAATTAGTCTGCAGCAGTGTTCCGTTCATACTGGGTCTGGCTGTGTCCTAGCTATTTTAGCTGCAGTTAGCCACAGGGTGCAGATTGAAAATTTAGAGCAATTTTATGAATGATTTTCCACCTTATAAACTATCCTTGGCATCTGTTCTTTGAATTTTCTATACTAAGTAAAGAGGTCCTTATGTTATTTATGTGCACAATCCTTTGTGGATGAACTTGTTAATTTGGAATGTATTTTCGAGAGATCCACTCTAAGGTATCTTTGCATAAAAGCTGGCACAGTTATTGGATTTAAAAATTTAGAGATATAAACAGAATCCAGGCACCTCTATGTGTGGTGTTTTTCAAAAACAAGACCTAGGGTGAGCTTTAATCTTTTCTCTCTTGTTTGGCAGTTCTTTGCCTAGAGGAAGAATAATATAAAACAAGGTGACAGTGACTTCTTACCCTATGGCAGGTATCTATTTATATGTATTTTGCTATAGCTTGGAAAAAGCCTAGGGAAAGTGAGCCCATGATTCTGTCTTCTCAGCATTCTCAGAAGCATGATTTTCACTCCACATGGTGTTCAACATCCAACATCGTGTTACCTTTAGCTGAATTATACTTTCATACCTCATTAAGGTTGTTAGATATGTTCAAATAGCCACAATCGGAAAAGCAAACTGTGATTCTTGTTTCTTCTTTGCTGTGGAGAACTGCCTTTGACTTCAAAGAGTTCTCCCAGCTCAAAATGGAACAGTGAAATGATTCATGAGAGTAGATGGAAGGAAATGATTAGTTCATATGCCTCTGGTCTGCAGCAGTGACATAAATCCTCAGAGAGGTTCTCGACTGTCAGGTCGTATGCTGCCTGTGTCAGATCACATACAGGCCAGCATATATTATCAATTGAGAAATCTAAGGCATGAACAAAACTTCCTTTCTACGGTTGTTCATTTTTTAAAGATGTCAAGTAGGCTTGAGGACAGAGGAAGAAAACATGATGCTACTCCAGGTTAACCAGAAAAGAAAAATTTGCATATTTATAAATACAAAGACCATTCAGGTAGGGGAAACACTTTTTTAAAACAAAACAAAGAGAACAATGTTAATTGATTGTAGGCTAAGAACAAACCATTCTGTGACTTCTCAAGTCTGTAAACTAGTTTATTCCCAGAGTGAAAATGTTATGGTCTGTTGGTTCTTAGAGTAATAAGGAAGGCAATGAGTACCCAGCAAGTCTAGATAAGAAAGTGTACCAGTGTGCCATTTACATCAGTGGTTTTATAACACCACTTGTCTCTCTGGGCTAATAAAACGTGTGATGTTCTGTTTGCTGTATATGATATAACTTAAAGAATCTTTCCATAGGGAGTTAATATCCATCCGTTGAAAAAAATATTTCCTCCTTTTTTTTAACATACCTAGAATGTCAAACATACCAATGAATTTAGCTGGCCACTACCACACTGTCTAAGTCAGGCAAAAACAGGTTTAAAAAATGAACAATCAGGAGTAGACATTAAGTGGAACATACTGAAAATGAGACAAGTTAGAAACATGGGAATCTGACAAGCAATGAAGAAATAACAACAGCATTGTCAGGTGCAAAGGTCTGGGACAGAGACTCCTACTCTTCCTCAACTGCTGTCTTGTGCCTGAGTACCGCTGAGTGCCCGGGAGCCTCAGGTTACCTGTCAGTTGTCGGATAGTGTAGTATTCGGTGCTGGTGCTCCAGGAGCACAGCCCTCAACAGGAAACAGAGTCAGGCTCCTCCTTCCTGAAAAGCCATCACCAGTGCTTATCCCTTGCCAACTGAACCAGACACAATTCGAAAAAGATGAGAATTTCTACAGTCCGCTCTGTCCTCAGCACCTCTCATTGTAAAGGACAGTTAGGTAGTGTGACCACCAATATTTATCATTTAGGGGTGATCATTTGCATTATATTTACAAGTTCTGTCTTCAGGTATACTTTCTTCTATGATGGAAAATGGTAGAATGGAGAACGGGAGGGAGAAACAGAACTCAAGTTCTTGTGGTGCACAGTCAAGGGAGGGCAGTTTAGGGAACTACACACAAAGCAATACAGGCAGCTTGTGCTATGAGCAAAATAAAGTTTTCTTTCTAAAGGAAAGGGCAGAATAGCTTATAATGTTTGATGAAAACTTGCTTAGGGAAAAAAATAGTTACTTAGCATGCTTATTAGATGATTTCTTTTTTATATGGGTGTGTGTGTGTGTGTGTGTGTGTGTGTGTGTGTGTGTGTGTGTGTGCGCGCGCGCACGTGCGTGCGCGCGCCAGCCCTGAAGCTTGAACCTAGGACCTTGGCACTATCCCTGAGCATATTTTCACTCAAGGTTAGCACTCTACCACTTGAGTCACAGCTCAAGGGTTTTTTGGTTTTGTTTTGTTTTTGACATTTCCGTGAGTAATGGAGATAAGAGTCTCGTGGACTATTCTTCCCAGTCTGGCTTCAAACTCAGTTCTTAAGTCTCAGCCTCCTGTGTAGCTAAGATTACAGGCATGAACCACCACCACCCAGCTCATATGTTTTCATAACAGAATGGAAATACATTGTGATTTTATTTCTCCCTAGGCCTCTCTTAATGTGGTGGAAATGCATAGAAGAGGTGGATTTTCAAGGTATTAGCAGGATTATCACTGAATTCTGAAGTTCTGTGCCCCAGTTTTCAAGCAGAAATTTTCCCTAGGAAGCACTATCAATACACTTGAACAGTGATGGTTTGTGGCTCTAGAATTCTTTTCACGTGTTTAGCATAAGGAATGGCTGCAGCCTGTAATCGGCATGTGTGGAGTCATCCACCTGTGTGCTCCTGGATACATCTCAGCTCTTCAAGCTTCTACTATCACATACGTAAAACTAATCATTGACAGTAAGCTACCATGGACCACTATTGTTATGATTAAGCCAGGTGGAATTTTCTAGGATTCTTCAGCATGCACGAAGTCAATTTTCTTTAGGATTAAGTGTGGTAAGGCACACACAGATCCTAGGATGGCACGTGGATACTGCATGTGTCCAGTGAACATTTTACCCTGCCTGCTCTTCCTCTTTCCTCCCTAATGAGCACGCCCCTCTCTTGCAGGGAAAGCACAGATTGCGCGTGGACACTGGGATGGAAGGCAGCTGGTGTGGCCTTATTCCTGTTGGACAGCCTTGCAAGCAGGTTACGACAACAGGTCTGAAGTGGAACCTCAGTAAGTAAACGTGCTCCGTGAAGGAAGTTGTTCTCCATACAAACCTAGTAGTAAAGTGGCTGGTAGCCCAGGGCAAAGCCTGAAAGGAAACTGCCGGAGGTGCTAGCACCAGTTTACATTTCCACGAGCAACCTTCCCGTGTCCTAATCTCTCTACTTTCACCACAATTGGTTATTTTTCTATGTTCTTTATTTTTGGTTTGGTTTTGTTACTTATAGTAGCCTACTTTATGTAAACAACATCTCTTTGAAGTTTTGATTTATGTTTTCTGATAACAAATGATCTCTAATTTACTTTGTATATCTTCCTTGAAAAACTTTCTCTTCAAGACTCTTCTCATGTTTTGAGTGGGTTATTCTCTGTTTTACACGAAGTTGTAAGAGTCATGGCTCTTGAGTCTTTGTAAATATGACTTGTAAACATGTTCCTATGCTTCTTGGCTCAGATTTTCATTTCTCAAAACTTACTTTGCTAAATGAATTACTTTTGGTGCAGCCTAATTTTTCTTTTATGTTTCATTTTATATGTCATATCTAAGAACTTTGCCCAACTTCCTTCATAATTTCGTCTACATAAAATATACTCAGCGTTGAAGTGGTAGCTGTGATAACTAAAGTTCCAAGTTCTTTTCATAGGAAAACCTTTGAAGTATCACAGATTAGCTGATTCTATTAAATATTAAAATGTTTCCCAACTATTTTGAACCATATTAGAGTTCAGTTATACAAGAACTGTCTAATTTGAAAAGAACAGAGAGCGAGAGGGATTTGTTTATGAACTAAATGCTGATTCAAGGGGGAAAAAAACTATACCACCACTAGACATTATGAAATGAGTTGACTCTAGTGTCTTTACAAATGACATTAATTTAATAAAAAATAAAGCCCACTGATTGAACGCCAGAACAATCATCCCCTGATTAACCAGTACCTCTAAGGTGGCACAAGAAAAATATGGGACTGTGTCATCTTCTGTAACATGTGAAACACTTAGATTTCCACATGGAAATAAGTATTTTGAAGATGAAAGGGTGGTTTTTGAAGTTCTTTCTATGAGCCGCTGCGGAAACAATTAGAGAAAACCTGGAGGTATTTTGAGGCACATGTCTAGAGACTCATCACTTTGAAAGGGCAGTAAGAAGTATCTCCTCCCGTGCACAGTAGTGTGTGACAGCTTTGAGGCTGACTCTGACGTGAGCTGGCTCCCATTAGGTTTTTGAAAACCTAAAATAATTGCTCTGCTTTTACAATTCCCTTTATTTCCAAGGACCTAAACTAGACAGTGGTGTCCCTTCTCCTGGACTTAGCAGTGTATTCGGGGTTGCTACCAGAATGGGAGGAGCGCTGAGCAGAAGAGGAAGAGCCACAGGGGCAACTGCCCAACTTCATCATCTCTCCATCATAGGGAAGAGTCACAATATAAGTTATGATCCTTTGGGTGCTATAGAATATCCCTCCATCATCTGTTCCCACATCCCAATGCACATCCCAATCCTGTCTAAACAAGGTTTCTCTGGAAAGGGGGAGTTTGGCATAATGAAGGTAGGACTCTTAATCTTCCTGCCTGTGATCATTTTTTCCTCTGCTTAAATGCAATACGTTGTTATTTGTTTGCATTGTTAATGGATGTTTCGACCTTTCAGATAGTTATTTTCTCTACATATTTATGAGATCTAATTTTGATATGCAAGTATTTTCATAGAGCATGCAAAGCAATAGAGTTAAAACACAGCTAGATACCAATTCTCTATAGGTAACAAAAAGTATGTTCAAGAGTCTTCTAACCAACTGACAATAGGAACTTACTGAAACATAATAGAAATATGTGTGAATGATGCTGTGTGGGCTTGAAGAAAAGTGGTAGATTTTTAGCATAAGTGGGCCTCTGCTTTACTCAGTGCTACTACCTGGGAAAAGCAGGGTCCCAGGACCCTGCTTGATCCATTGTAAATTTAAGCATCCAAGCATCAGCTTAGAGAAGAAAAAAGGAATAACTTGGTCAAGGGGTGCTAGCTTAGAGAAGCAAAAAGGAATAGCTTGGTCAAGGGGTGCTGGCTTTTTGGATCAATGACAGTAAGCAATTGCTTGTGGGGAAATGTTATAATCATCTTCACATAGCCTAGGGCTTGATTTTTTTTCCCCCAGTCCAACCTGTTTTGAGATCTGATGCCAGAAGTTCTTAACATAGTCTGATTTCATCTGTGATCCATTTAGAGTCTCTCATATTCCAGCTTTTATGAAGCAGACAAACTCTGAGAGGAGATTGGATAAGCTGTAGACATAAACACAATGAAGAATATTGTTCTATTCTAGATTGTGTCTTTCTGAAGGATCCTCAGATACTTTGCAAATAATGTTTCAGGCATATAAGACTAATGAATACAGACTGTTTCAAACTAGGATTAAATACAGTTCATTAACTCATCCCCAGTTCTTTTTCTACATTTTAGAATTAGAACCAGAAATGAATGATTATTTTTCTTCTACTCAGCCCTTGCCCTTTTGTGGTGCTGCTAGAACACAAAGAACTAACAGTAATTCACTATATGTCACAGCTATCCTATTCTACTTTCTGAAAACTCCCAACAATCTGACAACATGCATTTTTTATGGTTGAGTCTGGGCATTTAAATATGAAAACAATTAACGTGCATTTGTAGAGAATATGACAAATGGGAGTTTGTGTGCAGGTCAATTTTTCACAGACCTGCACTGAGGAACACTATTATAACTCAGGTTCACCTCCCAAGTTGTTTGAAGGAGTTGATTTCCCGGTATTTATGTGGGCAGGTTGACTGATGAGAATGACTGGAGTGGAGCTCAGGAGTCCCCTTCTATTTTCCCTCCTCCAGGTTTCATTTTTGTGCTGATTCAGATGTAGGCTCTGTGCATTCAGCCATTCAGTTAATATATCAAGACAAGAAAGCAATAACTTTGGTGATTATGTGAATTGTAGAGAAAGATTCGAGGGGTGTTGTGAATAAACTTTTACTATGGGAACAGCACACTGGGTATAATTTTCTTCTGGGCCCAAATAATCATATTTTGTATTCCAGAATAGCTTTTCATGCATCCTGCCTGTTTTTTCTCTGTGCTTATTCCTATAGCATTATGCTTCATATTGATGTGCAATGTCATTATCTTCATCATATAGATGAGAAAACTGAAGCATAAGATGCTAAATGAATTGTTCAAGTTTATATTTTCTAGCTGGGTCCTTTGTGTGCACAAAAAAAAAGATTCATCATATTTGTTTGTGTAACCTATTTTCAAAAGCTTTGGACATGGTGAATAGCCGGTCTCAGCGTTCTTTTTCTAGATGATTTTTTCCCCAAAATTGGGCAGGCTGTAAGTGAAGGCAATAAACACCTTAGCAATTAAAATCATGTCATAAGCTTTCCACTGTGTGAACTGCAGATGCTAGTATCCATGAAGATTGCAGAATGTGTAATTTAAATGTAACTTCGGTTCACTGTGATAACTTATTTCTGGGTGATTATAAACCAAATGTTGTAATTCATTATGGTTTTCAAGGAACTTGTGGCACAAATTCAAGTGGAAAAAAGATGCATTTGGCCTTCATAAAGAGGAATAAATGGTTTCAACAGGGTATTTGAATGCCTAGAGATTTGGAGGTAGAAAAAGGAAAGAAAGAAGAATAGTAGCAGGGCTGCAGTGGTTTTATTACAGGAGGGCTAAACTATTTGGCAGGGTTTTCAACAGTGAAGAACCACTTTGTTCTCTAAGTTGTCTGCAGGCCAAAATGTGAAAAATCAAAATCTTTTAAGAACAGTAGGTCTAAATTACAGTAAGGAGGAGGTCCAGCTAGGGAAATGCCCAGTACGCAGGAATAAAGAGCTATCTCTATATCTATATATTTTCATACATATAAATATATGAACATATTCAAAGCTAATCATGAAGTAAATATCTGCGTATTAATGAAGTATATTTTGCTATACTTCAAGGGAAAATCAAGGTAAAGAGTACCTGGAGAACAGATAACTTCTTAAGCTAATCACATATACAAGAAAACAACACAGTATTTTTTTTCCTCTTCCAGAGAAGTTGCAGAATCAAATTATCAAGAGACTATAAAGACTTCTGGCTTTCAGGAGATGTGGCTGAAGTTGTAGGGCATATTTGCTGGGCAAATATGAGGCTCTGAGTTCAAACTCTAGTACTTCCCCCTCAAAAATAAGAGGAAAAAAATCTCTGGCTCTGAGATGACTATCAAGTATCCAAACAGGAGAAAAATAAATGCTTTAAGCCCTTTTGCAAAATAAATATGTAGAGACTAATGCATAGCCTACAACTTGTCTTCTTTGTAATTTCTACCCTGAGATTACCTTTAAATGTAGTAGAAAAATGCAAATATTTGTGAGTTAATAATGTAAAGGAAAGATGACTATAGAATTTAAGTTCTTACTCTAGAACCAATGAGTTTTCTGGCACTTGGAAGTTACTTGGATGTTTATCGGCACAAAGATTGATGAATGGTGACTATGATTTCCTTCTGTTGAAAACTGTGGCTATCAAAGTCAGAAGCAATTGAGTCTATATCATACATGGCAGGTGCTTAATTTTCTAAGGAGACCTTTTTCTCATCCTTAGTGTCCTCACAGCAAGGGAAGTACAGGATGAGGATCAGGGGCATTTGTGTGGTAGCTGTCTGGAGTGGATGCTGGCCTAATAAACCTTGTGAGATGTAGTATCTGTATGACTTCATAGTATCCCTGCCATCCCAGCTGAAGGCTGTCTTCACCTGAGCATCACAGTAAATCCAGGACTGAGACATCTGCCCTGAGATAGGCTTGAAGCTCTAGTTGTAGTAGATCACTTTTTGAGGACTTATTGTGGGGTTGAGATTCCCCAGCCACCTGGAAAAGCAACATTACTCCTTGGCTATCTTCTCAACTTAAGGCAAGATTATACTATTTTAAGGCTCTGCCTAAGAGTCTACTTAAGTGCCAAAAAGTAAGTTGTATTGGCCTCTTTCAC